TACGACCGATCGGTCTTCTTAAAGGACCGCCTCGCTAAACAGAAGTTGACTAGCGATCGAGGTTAAGACCGTTTTAATTACAGGCGCGACTAGCAGGTAGGCCGAGCGATTAGCGGCACTCTTGCTCGTCCGTTTAATTAATTTTCGCTGTTCCCCCGCGCGATCCAAGTCGCGGATGCTCTCCGAGCCGGCTCCATCGATCAACCAGCCGGAGAACGGTGTCCATCGCAGAGATAGGAACGGCTCTCTCCCAGAGACAAAGGGGAATTCGAAGGATAAAAAGAACGGTTATTAATCTTGCGACGGTGCAGTCTCCATCGGGATACTGGACCGGTGTTTGTTCCAGCGACTTTGATTCAATAGCTCTCCTTGATAATCTCTCGAGATGCTGAATTCTCGAGTGAGTTCTTACGAGTAAACGAATTGTGCGACTCTTTCGGAGACTTTTTTCGAGTGTTTAATTGAAGCTTGAAGTGGGTTCTTTGAATCTGGGGATTTTGAGGAAAGTTTGGTTTTTGATTGGAAGAGAGTTTTCTTGAAAGCTGGAGTATGTAGATTTTTTTGAAGGAAGATTGACAAGAAGTAAGAGAACTTTCGTAAGATAGGAATTTATCAGTCACCTAACTGAGTCATTTTTTTTATGGCTTAGTTAGGGAGACACAGAGTTACACGAGTGACAAAAAGGTCCTGCTATTAATCTCGCTGGAACAGTTGGAGCATGATAGCTTCGTGTCAAAGGTCCCGCTTTCCCCAATTAACTTATTCGAAGGAAATGCTTTGTTTCACTTAATCTCTGTCTTTTCTTTGCCTTGTGCAATATTAGACGGCAAAAGTGACATGGTGTGACAAGTCGTGATAAATCGAAATTAAAATTATAATCAGTTGATCACAAATTGCGTTAGTAAAAATTTACAAAAAAAAAACTTTTATTCAATAAAAAGTAAAGATCACTACAATTTTTTTAATGAAAACATTTTTTTTTATGTACCAATCAATGCATATGAGAATTCTCTTCAAAAAAGTATTAGAGGACTTAGGTCGAAAATTGATTAGCTTAGAAGGCCCATATACGCGAAACACTGTGTGACGGCGAAAAACCATTTCTCTAAGCTTTATAAAAATATCGGTGCAAAGTCAAATTTTTTTGACAGCGACACGACGATGATAACCGAGAAGTCACGCGTACGCATTTGTTCTATCGCGCGCGGATGAGCCTGTTCTTCGTCCCTGAGCGCGGGGACTACGCGCGCTCTGATTGGCCAGTGTTTTTCGTTAACAATTAAAAAGTGAAGCTTCAAACAACATTTTGGTAAAGGAAAAAGTTGTTCAGAGTCACCCCAGCAACCCCCGGGTGTTCGAGGAGTTACGGGACACTCTGTATACCGCTTCCCCTTTCGTGCTTCCTTTCCACCCTTGTCATCGGTCAGGATCAGGATACTTTATCGAAAATCCTACGAAAACCCTTGAATATCGCCTTCCTTTGAAGCAGGAAACGAACGAGAGGGAGAGTGAATTGGCAAAAGAGGAGGTCAACGACCCACACAGGATCGTAAGACCGTTTTCACAGCGACTCTATCTAAACGGGATGCTCGACTCTCACGAACGAGATTCCACTATGTATAACATGTATAATCAAAGACCTATGCAGTGGTTATTCGTCCTCTGAAACGATCAAACGATTCCACGATTTTCTCCTCGTGCTCCTCGCTGTTTTATTCGAGCCTTTACGGGTCGATCGAACTGATGCTCGAGAATAAAAGATAGTCTGATTAGGGGTGAAGGTATTTCAGTATTTAAAGAAATTCTACACTTTGATATTTATATTTATTAAATTTACAAGGGTTCTGAACTAGTGAACTTAACTTAATTTGAGCATTTATTGGTGTCAATTTCTGAACCAGTGAAATTTTTCTGAATCATTTTTTCTAATGGCAATAACACCCTTCATTCATAATTCTCTCAATTAAAATTTCACTCAGTACCCAATTCACGTACTTTCCATTTAATTAAAAATTAATCAATTTCCTAGTATCATTTTTCACTCGCAGCTGGTCGAAACTAGCGACTTAACCCCCAAAAAGGAGACTGCCTGTCTCTTTTTCATCATCATTACAGGAAACCCCAGACCGTTCAAAGAACGTACTCCGCGTCTAAACAACGACGCTCGCAAAATGGAGAACAGGAAGGGAAAGTGGAGTTCGTTAACGACTCGAGCTAGAGCGTATTACAAAAGGACCTCTACGACAAAGGGTGAGGCGGAGGAGGCGGGGCTAGAGCGAAAAAAATAAGTCAGATGAGACGAAGTCGGTTTTACGAGAAGGACAATAACGCGAAACGGCCGTGGTACCAGTTTTCGGGGCTGTTACGTGAATAATAACGAGTCGGCTCGAACTTTTAACCTAACAACGCTCGATACGTTTTCGGGAATGGTTATAGTTATCGTTTCAGCTGTGGAGCAATCGTTTCTTTTCTCCTCGCTGTATGAAATATTCAAACTATATTATATCCTCGAGGTTCTTTTCTTTCTTGCTGTCAAGGTCCCGGTCGTCTCGAGTTCAACTTCGTGAGTTCCTTTCTTCGGCACTGGCTGGTCGCGATAAATTTCCGAGTTTCGTCCGAGAACAGGGGGATACATTCGTCACATTTGTATTCTTCCCGCGTGTTTAGATATAACAAGTTGATATCAAAGATGCACGGTGTGCGGAGCGATGATTTAGGAACGTGCGATGAATTAGGACAGGTGGTTCTTCCGCAAATTTGAATTTTCGAATATGCTGCTCTGCGTGGTGGTACCATTTATGTTACATGAAATTCTATTACGAATTTTTTGTTCCTTGATAGTTTGGTTTAATCCTATCAATCCCAAGGCAGTGAATTTTCATTATCTATTCCTTTATATTTAATATTTACTAAATTAAGTATTCAGTCTTCGTACAATTTTTACCTCCGCGTTGCAATTTTGAGCTTTTCAAGTGTGTCGTGGAAAAAGTATTCGATCAATTTTCTAGAGACAGTATTAAAAATTTCTAAAAATTATATCGACGTTTAAAAAACTAAAAGATTATATTTCCAGCAGATTTGATATATTAATTCAAGGCGTGTCAAGCGTATTTTATGAAATATCACGTTGGCGTGTGCAGATTTGATTAAGCGATTTCACCGCGGTGAAGTTGAGCACACAGTCAAATATTGAAATTAGAAAATAGGATCGCTAATCCTCGTATATCGTACCTACGTTGAAAACAGGTTGACGATACCGTTTCGTTCCCTCCAACAGCAGCCAGGCTCCGACAGCCCCGTGAATTCCCGTAGCAAGAATTTGCACCATAACGCCGGTTACCACTACCACCCACCCCCAACCACTCTCCGGGTAGTAATGCTGTCTTATGGTACATCGCGCGATGTATCTACAGCGTGTAAAAAGCAGCTATAATAAGAAAACTGTCGGCACATTTCATTTTATCCTTGCCACTCGTGGTTTTCCTTCGACTTGATATTTATTTAATCACCGATACACCAAAAATCTATCGTACGTATCAATGAGAAAACGAAGAAATTTCATTTGATCTTAGGATCAATATTTACCGATTTTTATTTAT